TTCTCCTCCACTCCTGTTTCAAAGATATATCTGCATGGGCTTGAGATGTCAGGATCTGAAGGATGCAATGAGGTCTTGCCTGAAAGTGTCTCAACAGTCCCTAGCCTCTGCCCACACTGCACACTGTACATGCCTCTGCAACTCTCCTCCCCAAATGCCCCTGGTGACACCATGTAACTCAGGCTCCATTCTGTCCTGCTGGCTCTTTAGAAGGTTTGGTAGGTATGGGTGGACAGGTGGGACCTCCTAGCACTTCCACAGAGGCCTTACCCAGATTATTCCACAGCCCCCTGGAACTAGAGGAATGTTAGTTCTAGCAGAGAACACTCCTAGACTACTGCAATTGGCCTCCCATTTAGAAGAATGTCCACTTCTGAAGGAGTGGTCCTCAGCTATATGAGTGGGTAACAAGGATGCAAGTACCTCTGTGAGCCACAGCATCTCTGGGGTGATTCCTACTGAAACTGTTACCAGCTGGCCAGGCAGATGGAAGCACATAGTCTAGCTCCCATTCCTATAACAACTTTCAGAATTGCCTTCAAAGGATGAGCATGGACGAAGTCAGTCCAATAAAATTCACACTCGGAACAAAACAAAAACTGAAGCGCCAGCTGTGGGCTGTGCCACAGCGCCATCCCGTGCAAAGAAAGGGACAGAAATGAATTCTACCACATCCGGAGCCTGGAGGACACGAAGTTCTTTTCCAAGTGAATAATTTTAATGGGTGTCTGATAGAAACCCCTTTTCCATTTCACTGCTTTTAGAGTCAAAGTGAAATCGGAGCCTAAGAGACAACCCAGCCCAGAAGAGAGGAAGAACAATTGAGCAGGTGGGACCGCAGCACCTGCCCTTTAAACGGCCACCAGCTGGTTGGTCTCTGGCAAGGCCCCTCCTATGCAGCACCCATTCTCTAGCTCATGCTCCGAGGCTGAGCACCTTGATATGGAGTTGCTCAGAAGCCCACAGGCTCCGTGGGTGACTGTCCTACCAAAGTTTAGCACCAAGATGCCAGGGGTGGGGCAAGTAGATTATGAAACTCTGGTCCACAGGCCCCGTGGGTGACTGTCCTACCAAAGTTTAGCACCAGGCTCCGTGGGTGACTGTCCTACCAAAGTTTAGCACCAAGATGCCAGGGGTGGGGCAAGTAGATTATGAAACTCTGGTCCTGCAGGGGTTGACAATTTACCCTCAGTCTTGTTGGGGTAGCCCACAGTGAGAGGCAATCAGAGTGTCCCTTTCTGTGATGGGGGTGATAAGGTCAACTGTGGTTAGTGCCGAGGACCCTTTAGAAATATATGTGCAGAGCATGAAGGGTCTGGGCTCCAGCACTAAAACAGAAAAACAAGCAGAGGGAGATGGGAAAAGTACATTTCAAGTGAATTTAAAATGCACAGTCCCCCCACCCAAAACAATGTGAATACCAAAAGGAACCTAAAAAGACAGAATGATGGAATACAATGTTACAGCCCAGGAGGGGTGTCTATATAAAAGACAGGCAGTCAGAAACAAATCTAAATAGAGAATGGATTTTAGTTAATAATAATGTGTCAATGTTGGTTCATTAATTGTAACAACAGTGCCACATTAATAAGAAAGTAATAATAGGGGAAGCCAGGCAAAGAATAGGGCCGTAAGAGCTCTGTACACTACTTCCAATTTTCCTGTAACTATAAAACAGCTCTAAATAATGGCCTATTTTTAAAACAAAAATAACAAAATGGCATACATCATTTCCCAGAACCACGATGTACTAGAACGATTGCCTATGGAGAGAGTAGGCAGTGACAGCTGAGGGGAGTGTTTGCAGATGACAATGATGATAATGGCATGCCATGGGTGCAGAGGACAGTTAACTTCTCCCATGTGTAAGTCCACCACCAATCAGGAGAACTTGTCAGACAGAAGGAATCTTACAAGAGAGTTAGTCATAATGGCGCCTTGAGTGGGATGATGGGAAGGTTCAAGGAGCCTGAGTCCTCAAGGAGAGTTAATTGGACCTTAAAGCCACGATGGGGCTGGGAGGGAGAGTGTTTGGTAGTTGTACAATAGAGAACTTAATAGGACAAGAACCATCCCTATCAAACACCAGTCACTCAGCTATCTCTGTGCCCTCTAGATTCTCAGCCTGTGTCAGGAGTTCTAGGCAGAGGGCACCAAGAACAGGCAGATACACGGATGGCCATGATAAAAGACCTGGCCACTTACAGTGGAATTCAGATCAATGTAGAATACATTATCTCTGATACCACATGGAGCACATTTGAGCTGTATATATAAAAAATTCTTCAAAGTTATTCATTGTTGATCTGAAATTCAATTTTAGTGAAGTATCTACACTTTGTTATATGTGGAAGTTCTGAATAATAATAGCAGCATCGTGCTGCTCAGGCTACTTCATCTGCTTGACATGTTCAATCTTTTTACCAACCCTGGGAAGGTTTACCCGCCCAAGGTCCTTAGCTAGAAGGTCCATGAGAGGCAACACATCTAGTTAGCCTTCTGAATGCCCCCTCCTGAGTGTGACCTGTACTGTTTCCCAACCAAGTCTTCTACTCCCTAACATCAGAGGCAGCTGTGTAGAGTACAAGTACCATGACCTTGGAGACGCCTACTCAGGTGACTCCTAGCAGAAGGCCCAAATGAGCTTTGGGTTTCAAATGGCAAAAACCAGTAGACCACAGTAAAGAGGCCCAACATGATCCAACAGGTTACAGTCTCCCCTACTGGTGAGAAGGTGACCTAGAGGAACTCCTCCTGCCACAGGGCTCCGGATGAGCCATGTAAGTCAGTACTGCAAGGATCTGGGCCAAGATATATGCATCCCACCTCAGAACAGAGAACGAATGAATGTCCTCTGAGGGTCCATTCCAGTATGAGGACTGCATTAATGTGAATCTTACAAATTCGATTTCAGATGCAAATACCTTCCCAACTTTCAGCATGTCACTTTTAAAAATGGCTCAGTCCTAAATGTGATTCCTCCATCAAACCCCTCCCCTCAAGGCTCAGGGATGTATTTGGAAGAGGCAAAGCACAAATTATAAAAGGTGATGGGTGACTCCAAGGAAACCATGTCTTCCAGACACAACAGGACTGAAGCACATATGAACTTCCAGGGAGTGTGGCAGCATGCACAGGTTCAAGCCAGATGGATTCCCAGCACTGGGAAGGAAAAGTGGTCCAGGGGTCCCACCCCTAACCAAGAAGCTATTTGCAACTGACACTTGCTACCAAAGGGAAAGTCGGTTTTCTTCAATGGAGCATCACTGGGTGAATCAACCACACTCCAGGAAGGCCAGGTGCTCAAGAGTAAGTGGCCAACACAAAACAAACCCCTTGACTTTGTGTGGACTTTTGTTTTGTTATGCCATTTTTTTATCTTACTGAGCTTTTGTTTGTTTTGATTTTGGTTTGGTTGTCCTTGGGAGTTGTTTGGGGGGACATACAATGCTGGGTGGATAAGAAGGTGGGGAGAACCTGGGAAGAGCTAGAGGAGTGGAAAAATATGATCAAAAGATTGCATGAAAAAATAGTATGAAAATCATAGTAAGCACACATTGAGCACCTCATGTTTACGAGATATTATGCTAGACGTCTTCATTTCCCCATCTGACAGTGGAACATGTAATACCACAGCCCAGCAAGGAGGCTACTACTCTTCAAGTAAGGAGCCTGAGTTTCCTCTAAAAGGTCAATTACACAGCTAGTACTTATTAGACACCTACTGAGAGGGAGATTCTATCCCAGGTTCTGGGAATGTAGCAGGAAATGAACAAAGTCTCTAGCTTCATGGAGCTGGTGGGGCACAGATAAGAGACGACCCTGCCACCCTGCTGTAGGTAACAGGACTGAGCTAAATGGGATCAAGAAATGCAGAGCAGGGGCCAGTGTAGAGAGTTAAAGGCATGATGGGTTTTTATTGGGGATGACTAGGGAAGGAGAAAAGAGCAGGGACCTGAAGTGAGGGCACGAGAATGGTCTGACAAGAGTTCCTAGAAGAGAAGACTCCGTCAAAATCAACACCCCGAGGCCAAGGTGACACCAACCCACAACTAAGGGCAGACTGGTAGCTGGTCTGGAATAGAAGTTTAGAGAAGAGAAGATTAGAGACAGATGGATTTGGAAGAAAGTAAGGCCAGGATATTTTGAAAAGATCAGAGTGGTATGGATAGGCAAGTACATGGATGGATGGGGGTAGATAAATGGGTGGGTGGGTGGATGGGTAAATGAATGGGTGGGTGGGTGGATAGGTTTGTGGGTAAGTGAGTGGATAGATGGATAGGTGGATGGGTGGGTGGATGGGTGGGTGGGTGGGTAGGTAGATGAATAGGTGGGTGGGGGTGGGTAGGCTGGTGGGTAAGTGAGTGGATAGATGGATAGGTGGGTGGGTGAATGAGTATGTGGGTGAATGGGTGGATAGGTGGGTGGATGGGTAGGTGGGTGGGTGGGTGGATGGGTGGATTTCCATGGATTGCCTTAGTTTGGTTACCAAAGGCAATTAGCAGACATGAAAACACACACACACACTTAGAGATTTATAAAATATATTCAATGGTGCCCCATTCAGGTCCCTAAAGTATCTCACAACAGATTCCTCAGGGAGCTCTGGGAAAGCCTTACTTTTCTATTTCAACAGGAAAACCAGGTTTTTGTGCAAGAAAACCACTCTGAAGAAAGCCACAGTGTCTCACCTTCACGTTCTAACCAGACTGCTGTGTGCTTTGTGTGCGCATGATCGGGAGTGGGTGTGGTTCACCACCACCATCCCACAGTAGCATGAAACTACCTGGCCAAAGTTATCACAATACAAGACCCTCCTGCAAGGCCCTGGACAAAAGTATCTGATTTACACACACACACACACACACACACACACACACACACACAGAGGCACGCACGCACGCACACTGTCTGCCAGAGTAAAGCCAAAACCTTCTTGAGGTAGCACTGACCACCAGGGACCCAGCCCACCCTGAGACCTGTAGCCTAAGCAGCCTCACCTCCAAGTCCTTCTCCAGCTCCAGCCCAGCCGCCATCAGGTTGTGTTCAAATTCATCTCGCTGTCCCCTCCTCTCCTCTTCCAGAGCATCCAGTGGCCCAAGTTCAATATCACCAGGGCCTCCAGCATGGCGCTCCTTGCCTGTCTCCCCATTGGAGATAACAGCCAGCGAATGTCCAGGGGAGCCATGACCCTGGTGTGCCCCTCGTTTCCTGTAGTGGTATGCAAGAACGTAATCGACTTTCCTCTGGTTGTCGTGGAAGTGCATTCGGCTCAAACGGGCTTCTGATGGGGGTTCATTGGCATCCAGGTAGTTATTGATGACCTGACCAGAGAAAGCAGCACAGGGGAGGCCAGATGAGTAAGGTGGCTAAGAGGATGAATGCCCCGACACTCTCGGTCAGCCTAGGAAGCAGGTCTCTCAGATCCAGAGGCCCCTCCTGTCCAGTGAAAGGGTCTGCAGCCTAAGCCACCTGTCACACGTAGGCCTGCACCCACGTGTGCTGCCCGGTCATCAGCGCCTTCACACATGCTCTGGTACCCAATGCATAAACACATACATAGGGTCAGGAAAAGAGAGAGACACAGAGAGGCCCAGCAACAGAAAAAGGCAAAGACACAGAGAAACAGAGAGGGACAGGGAGACTGCACACGCTACAGCTTACCCTTGTCTGTCCACATGGCTTTCCCCCGACCCCGAAGCCCATGCGAAGTCGTGCTCATCCACACATGCATAGCCCCTGCAGGCAGTCCCCTCGCTCACACCCCCCTGATTCAGCATTTCTGCACACAAGTGAAGGTGTCCATGTGCACAGGCAAACTAGCGCACAGCCCTCCACACGCACCACAGCACGCCCACACATGTGCCGTTCCCGGCAGAGCTCGCTGCACACGAGCCTGCAAACACGCTCCGTAAGCACACACAGAGTACTCACTGGCAAGTGTTCTGGATCCATCACAACAAAGGCCAATCACTAGTCTCCTCTCCCACCCACAGGAACTCACTGGACACTCCACCCCTCACAAATCCACATCCTCCTCCTCGCCCTCCTCCCCAGCCACCAGCAAGGACCCTGCCTGTGACAGAAGCAGGGCAACTGATGGCTTTCTCTAGCTCCCACTCTGGACTGGAAAGGTAGAGAACAGAGGGGGAAAGAGAGCAAGGCGGAGCAGGCCAGGGACCTGCCTCCCTCCCTCTGGGTGTTTCCTTGTTTATTACTGGTTTGATACCCAGCTGCCTCAGCAGCCACCTGAGAGGTCACCGGGGCAACCAGATGAAATGCCAGGCACCAGAGAGAGGCTCGGAGCTACCACAGCTGAGGAGAAGGGTTTCTCACTCAGGCCTGTGGGAACAGAGCCTAGGAACCTGCAGCCCAACAGGTGGAGTTATCTCCCTCTCAACTTCTCCTTCCCAAACCCTTCGCTGAAGAGGGATAGCCAGGGTTGCTGGAAAATGCACATGGCTTGGAGAAGGGAAAGATAAGAGTGCTCTATCAGAAACCCAGGGCTTTTCACTTAAGCAGGAGCCTCAAATGATAGGAGGGCCAGGTGGAAAGCTCCCTTGAGATGGCCATCTGTACTCACAGCACTGTCACGGGGACACTCTCTCCCGGAGACCTGACTAGAGTGTCGGCTAGAACTGTCCCTCTGACCTGGGGCCCGGGGACTTGGCACTTTGAGGTACTGTATGGGGCCCTGGCCTCCTCTGGCCACTGTCCGAGAACTCAGTCGACGCGGAGATCCAGGGAGTAGAGGGATATCTGTGAGAAAGAAAGACAGGCAGCACAGGTTCAGGTGACAGCACTCCCTAGGCACAGATCTAAGGCAGTGAGAAGAAGACCCCACGGCTCCATGGAAATGACCTGCTTTCTTTATGGCCTTATCTAGCCACATTCATTATAGCCAATGGGAGTGAAAGTAAGTGGTAACTCCCCTACCAAACACACATGCTTGCACACACACACACACACAGACACACATGCGAGGTCACAGCTGTCATAATCTCATATGTATATACTCAACATGCAATGGTGGGCTCAAGTCCAGAGCATGGTGCCCGCTGGGCAAAGCTCTCCCCCACTGCCCCACTGTTGCTCCGTCCTTGCTTTATCCTTGAGGCCATGAGGCCATGAGGCCATGAGGCCATGAGGCCATGAGAGCTGGCCAGCGAGTCTGCAGTCTGGGACAAGAAGCAGGCATCAGATGAGCCAGGGTAGGTACAGCACTTCCCAGGGAGACAGGACTCTGTCATTCCACATTTGACTTGTGGCCCCTGCTGTCACCCTTGCTCTCCGTGCTGTTGTGAGTGCATGAGTACAGTGATCCTGTCATATCCAGAAGACCCTGCTTGACCCCACTCCTCTCGACCTATGGCTTTACAATGTTTCCAGCCCCTCTTCCTTGGTGGTCACTGAACCTTAGCAGGGAAGTGTGGAATAGATGTCCCATTTATGAATGACCACTCTGCAGATACTTATTCCCAAGAGGATATTTCTTGAAGCCTAAAAACATGTGTAACAAGTAATGATACCAATGCAGCAATAAAAGTCTCCCCATAACAAGCCTCCCCGGAATGCCCCTTGCTAGTTTTCATCAGATATGCCAACACTAGTGCATACATACTCCAAAATACTCCATAAAACAAAAAGGGAAGACATGAATCCAAAGTCCTTCTTAGAGCCTGTATTGCCTTCCTACCAAAACCAGGCAAGGATACAACTAAAACACAAAACTATAGGCCCATTTCTTTGATTAATATAAATACAAAAATCCTCAGTAAAATCCCCACAAACAGAATTGGGCAGCATACTTTAAAAATCATGGACCATGGCCAAGACAGATCGACATGCACATATCAATAAATGAAATATAATACATAAGTAGAAGCAGGACAAAAAAATCACATGATTATCTCAATAGTCACAGAAAAAAATCCTAATAAGTCACCCCATCATCATAAAAGTCCTGAAGAAACTAATTATAGCTTACATTGTTAGCTTATATAGTTATAGTTTAATAGTTCATTTATATATCTATAGCTTATAAATAACTGAAGAAACATATATGCATACACACATACATACACACACACACACATATATATATACATATATATACATTGGTATATAAACTGAAGAAACTGCCTCAACACAAGGGTTATCTCCAACAGGCTAACAGCCAACATTATTCTGAATGAAGAAAAGATGAAATCACGTCTCTAAAATCAAGAGCAGGATAGAGGTATCCTATCTCTACAGTCTTGGTCAAAACAGATCTTGAATTCTTAGCCAGAGCAATAAAACAAGAGAAAGACAAGAATTGGAGAAAGAAGACAATTGATGCCTGTTTGTAGATGGTGTGATGCTGTACTTAAAAGACACTTCAGTCTCCATTAAAACTTGTAAAACCCAATTTCTTTTAATTTCAGGAAAGCAGCAAGATATAAAACCAATATACAAAGATCAATAGCTTTTATATACCAATAAAGAACCCAGAGATAGAGAAATCAGAAAAACAAACCCACTCACTACAGCCTCCAAAGATCATGTTACTTAGGGATAAATCTAGCCATAGAGGCAAGAAAAAAGGGGGGAACTCTAAAACAAAAACTACAGCATACTGAAGAAAGAAATCGAAGAAAACACAAGAAAATGGAAAGCTCTCCCAAGTTCCTGACTCAGTGAGATTAATATTTTTATAAACAGCATGCTACTGAAAACAATCTACAAAGTCGATGTGGCCCCATCTAAATTCAAATGACATCTCAAACTTTCTCCACTCATCCAGCTCCAAATACAGAAAGCTATGGGCTCCCCAGGCTCCAACCACTCTCCACAAACTGCCCCTTCTCAGCTGCTGGTGCTGACAAGCATGGGCTTTCTAGACCTCAACTGCTCGGCCCAAACTGTCCACACCCGGGCAGCATCCAGTGCCAACAGGGAAGGGCTTACACTCTGACCACTAGCCCCAAACCTTCCCCATTTGCTTGTCTCCAGGTCTTAATTCTTCCCACACTTCTCAGCCCCATCCAGCTGGTCAAAGTCTCTGGAATTGCCTATAGCTCCCATGTACCTGCTTACCATAGCTTCCTACAGAGCTTCCCAGACTTAGTAAGAGAGGCACTCGCCATCTCTCCCACCCTGCAGTCCAACAACCTACCCTCCCTGAGTCTGTCATCCCACCCTGCAGTCCAGATGGACTGATTCTTACTCATCTGAGACTACTACATTTTATCCTTTGGGTCCAGTCCTGGCTATTTCAGTTCAGTAGCCTCAACAAGCAACTCTGTACCTTCTTACTGAGGATGATTCCAACCTCCCCACTTTGTAAGGTTACAGATACCTTAGGTAGAATGAGAGATTTGAAGAGAAAAATGAAATAAAGAATAGGGAATTCAGGCCAGGAGAGGCCCCTGTCTAAATGACCCAACTGGTAGAGCCAGCTTTCAGAGCCTACCTAACATGAGATTCGTTCCTCAGCCCACCCCTCTCTGTTTTGCTGTGCCTTATTGAATTCCACTATTCCCCATCCACTACCAGAGATCTCCCGTGACTATCCCTTCATTTACTCCTTGGTTGTCTTCATGACTAAGTTCAATTACACTAAACAAATAGCACAAGACTACATTCCCACGTAGCATAAGTTTAAAAAGAAGTGTTTTGAAAACATTAGTAGGTTCATTGGGTGGAGGTCTTAGTCTGAAGGCACAACCTTTAATGGGGATGCTGATGGAGGGTGGCACTTGAGAGGAGAAATGCTAGGAAGCAGGGGTTGTATCTGAATCCTTCAAATCATGTCACACACACACACAAAGAGAGAGACACACACACACAGACGGCATGGCAGAAATCTTCAAGCATAGGACTGGAGGTAGAACAGGCATTCAAACAGCGGAACAGGACGGGAGCTCTAGAAAAGCTCAGGCAGGAGCCATGGCAATGAACAGGAGCAAGAGACCAGAGACACTGCCAGGAGCAAGACAGGAGGCTCATTGCTCAGAGACAACAGGAAGTGGGTTGGTTCAGCAGGTGCAGGACCAAGGGCAAGGTGAGTCATCAAGGCCCTGGAGCCTCCCCAGAGGCAGCAGGAGCAGGCTTCCCTCCCAAGGGTGCTGGGCTTCCAGGCAACAGGGCTTTTCCTGCAAGCTTCCCCCTTGGCATCGCCACTGTCTCATCACTGACTATGGATGAGTGAAACATGAAACACCTTGATTTCTCAAAGGCAGCTTCAGCCAGATATTGAGGTGCCAGCACTAACTAAGGAGCCTGAGGCAATAAGACTGCCACAACTCCAAGGCCAGTCTGGAAAGCAAGTGAGTTCCAGGCAGATCTGAGCTAGACAACGAGAGTCCATCACTGCATCTCCAAGTCACCGAGTCTGGCAAGAACAGTCAGACCCTGGAAATCAGAGGGAGAGAGCACCCTTACCCTCCACAGCTAAGAACAGGGATCCAGGAAGCAACAGCCTTGAGCATGGGTGGCTCCTCTTGGGAGCCTCAAAGACACCTGGGCGATTCCACATTTGAAGGCCCTCACCCCAGGTCCAACATGGTTCATCTAAGGATGGATTTTCAGCTTCATGGTGGTGGGGAAGTGTCCTCATTCAATCCTTCTCACCAATCGCTGAGGTATTTAACAAATTCCCTGAGATATCAACACTTGGTTACAAAGAAGGCTTTGTGATAGGTGAGTTTGCCCATCTGTGTCCAATGTCAGTATTCTGAACATGTTTAAAGGCCAATAGAATAGGTGAGTTTGCCCATCCATGCCCAATGTCAGTATTCTGAATATGTTTAAAGGCCAACAGAATATAGTTATGGATGGATGGATGGATGGATGGATGGATGGATGGATGGATGGATGGATGGGGTGGGCTGGAACAGGAGGATCAAGTGGAAAGGATGAGGAAATAGGGGGTAAGAGAGGGGATACAGAGAGAGACAGATAAAACTAAGGATCATTTTAGGGGTAGTATGGAAACCTAATATAGTAGAAGCTTCCCAAAATACATACATAAATGAAGATTATCTAAATGAAATCACAAAATGATTGGGTAGACAGAGCTCCAATTGGCTGTCTCTTGTCACCAAATGAAGCTTCCACTACCAAAGAAGGGTTACATCCAATTGAATTGTTGGCCAAAGGAGCCCAATGGAAATCCCTAAACAACCAAGCCTGTTGCCAAGACTATTGGTTTCTCTCCGCAAACTGACAGCAAGGCACCAGTGCTGAAGCCAACATCTACACAACTCATTGAACATGGAGAAGTCCAGCTGGTGCCTATCTAGAGCCTTCATCTCTATGTGCTAGCATCTTCGGAACACCAAAGCAGTTGTGTCCTGCTTGCAAAAATGCTAGGGCAATTGTGGCACAAAGTTGCGGAAGTAACCAACCAACATCTGATTGGACGTAAGGCCCACTCCAGGAGATGGAACCCATACCCAACAAGTTTGCATGACCAAGAACCAGAGACCTAGGGCCAAATCAAATACTACTGCTCTGAAAACAAAAACGAAGCAAAAAATATAGCAACAGAATGATTCCTAATGACATTCTGCTACACGCATAGATCAGCGCCTTGCCCAGCCGTCATCAGAGAATCTTTCTTCAGTAGCAGCAGATGGGAACAGGGACTCACAGTTAGACATTATGCGGAGTATGAGAGACTCTGGAACACTCAGCCCTAAATGGGATGTCTTTATCAAATCCCTGCCCTCAGGGCTCAGGGAACCCCAGAGAAGAGGAGGCAGAAGGAGTGCCAG